TACTCTCTCTCTCTCTCTCTCTCTCTCTCTCTCTCTCTCTCTCTCTCTCTCTCTCTATATATATATATATATATATATATATATATATATATATATATATATATTTATTTATATATATTTATAGATCTGGAATGTTACTAACGTCTTCCTCGTGACATATTCAGCATGACAATAAAATACCCAAAAATGCACTTTCTGTTGCACAAATTTTGGCGGCCACCAAACAACTGTCTGGCCGCTAGACAAGACATGTGTCAGACACGCCTCTTGCCTACACCAGTATTTTACTACTTTGTCTCCCTTCTTAAGTGATAAAATATGAACTTTCCTTGAATGCGTGGCTGGGAACCATTTTTCCCTGGTAAGACAGTACAGAATTTCCATCCATGATGAAGATTACCTCGGTCTTTGATCTGCGTGATTAGAGGACGCGTTTTCTTGAGACCAATTCGAGATATCTGGCAATCAGTTTATACAGTAAAGCTCAACATAAGAATCTGACGTAAGGTCAAAGCCATGAATTGCTTCCTCTTTAGAGAATCGCTGTAAAGACCCATCAATCTTTAGTTCCGGTGTCTTTGCAGGTGCCAGGTGTTACAAAGAAATGCGACAAGGAAACCAGATGTAATTAGGTCCAATACGGGACGACACAATCTGTGTTTGGAGGTCTGGAAAATGTGCCATGAGGAACGTAGCCGTTACTTCACAGGGGCGAGAACAGCTTTATACGGTTACGCGCATAAACATCAAGTTCTTACCACAGCAATAGATACACCCCCGTGACGCCAAAACTAATAAATAATTTAAATTTAAAACCAAAGCCTAAAATTTAAGAGGTGTCAGAAAGACGTGTCATTGAGCAACAACAGACCATGCCTACCGTTTATTAGTGCACCGAAAATCAAATTAACGATAACGTTAAATCCTATTCGTCGGCTGTCATATTCGTTGTTTCTTGCTTAACGCAATGTCGTATCGTAGGGTTATGTAGAATACCAACATTATCAGTTTGCCTAGTATCGTCGATAATCAGTAACAAAGTAAGTTGGGGATCCAGAGAACAGGAGCCAAGAAGAGTGCACGCTTGGATGTCATGTACGAAGTGACATATACGTTCACATCACTACAGCCATGTTTTGGGCAGATTTTTCTTCCGGTTTGTTAGGTGACATCTTTAGCAGACCAACCGCCATTGTTAACAAGGCTTTCTGCCTTGCAATTTCTATACTGACTACAAGAAAGCCCCAGCCTAATCTCCAAGCAGATCCTAGATAGAGTGGCAAAAGACATTATGGCAAGTTGGCAGTATCCATTGGCCAGAGAGGGTCCAAGCCGTCTTTTTGTTGTTTGGTTTTGTGTGTACTAATGATATTGTCACCTTGCAGACTGATATAATGCAATCCTTATTTGGTACTTTGTGTTCAGGCGTTGTACGCTGACACGATGGCGGGTCCGTGTACATCCGGGTTCTGGATCTGGGTGGTTCTGGTGTTGATGGCGACGACTGCAACTGTCACTGGGCAAGGTAAGCCTTACGTTTTCCTTTAAATTTCCTAAGGATGTCTTATTGAAAAGTCAAGTTTATTTATTTATTTGTTGGCTTCATATACAATATTGGTGTTTCTTACTAGGCCTGATATTTATAACGGGAAGATGCTGCTGGGAACATGCACTGATTAGCCCTTTACCTCCATTTTTAACACTTTGATCACTAATTTCTTTTCGCCGATTATTACTGTTAAACTTTTAACTTACTTTTAGCTTTGGGATTAGCCAGTTGTACTGATCTGGTGAAATGCCTAAGCCTTCAGGCCTTTTACCTGGTGGAGTCATGTGGCGCAACGGCAGCGTGCTCGACTCTGAATCAAGAAGTCCCGGGTTCGAGTCCTGACACGCCACCGATCTTGTGCCCTTGGGAAAGGCGCTTTTCACGACTTCCCCACCAGACTCAAGTGAAAATGAGTATTGTCTGTCCAGTATTCGTTTATATTTGGGGGACACAACACTAGCAACAGCTGTCTCTGTTCCGCGTGTATTGCACTGTTGCAATTTCAACTAGAAAGGCCAATATTTGCTTTGGAGCAAATACAGCGATGGGTTCACCACATTTTACGACATGGCAGGGAAAGAATGAGAAACACAAGGGAGATTTACATTGATATAACTATAATATGAAGTAACATACAACTAAAACAACAGTTGGATAGCTATTCCCTACTTTATTGGTTAGGATTTTTAATTACATAATGCAAACTGTTGATTTTCAAAATAAAAAAAAAAACGTTCATGCCCCGCATTCCAATGCTGGAGCAGGAAAGCTTGAAATACCTACCAAAACACTTGAATAAAGACATACTGTCAGTATGGAAATGCTCTGTGCAGGTGTTAATCAAGTTAAATCCCAACAGTCAATCAGCAAGAAATGCTCTGTGCAGGTGGAAATGCTCTGTGCAGGTGTTAATCAAGTTAAATCCCAACAGCCAATCAGCAAGAAGTATAGAGGAAAGCTGCATGCCTATTGGTTGATGCCCTGCATTCCATT